TTTCTGCGTGCTTAATTATTATTAAGTTAAATTATTAAAAGTTAGTATTATATAAAAGTTCTTATATTAATTTTTAAAATATAAATAAATAAAATGATTTCTCACTTGTATATCGATGAAAAGTTTTATGAACTATCGCTTTAACTTCTTTAGCATGTATCACGTTTGAATTCTTTGTAACATCCAAAATCAATGCTGCAAAATGACCACCTCCAATCATTATCATTGTCCATAACCTTGGATTTTGTCTTTCGTTAGATTTCACTTGTAACTTGTAAATATCATCAATATCTTTGTCTCCAAAATTATTAAGAATATTCTTATATATACCTAAATTAATTGAAGTTGGAAATAAAGTAGGACAAACAAACCATGAGATTGGTTCTGAATTCTTATTTTGTTTATCAGTCAATTCGTCATCATCTAAAGTAGTTTCTTTCAATTCATTAACAAGAGTTGCTACATCATCCTCTGTTGTTTCAGAACAATCCGTCCCGGATCCTGAAATACTTGATATACTATCTATAAATAAATTTTTTTTTTTTAGGAAAAAAGAAAATGGTTAACAAAAATAAAAAATAGTAATAATAATAATAATAATAATAATAATCCTTTCTTGTGTCTTACCACCCATTAATTCTTCAAATTCTTCTTCAGTAGTTGGTTTATATTGCTTTTTACCAAGTTCTAAGCTAACAGTACGTCTTTTTACGTTAAACCTATGCCAATCTAGTTTATAATGAGTTCTTTGCTGTTCTACATTTTCAAAAGATGTTATTCCACAAACAAGACATGTAGGTCTTGTATTATCTTCATTTTGTTTAGTAAAAACGTTTTCTTTCACTTTATTTGTTATTTCTGGTTCTGATAATAATTTCGCTGAGGATTTTACGAATTTTTTTCTTGAAGTGATAACTAATAAAATTTCAGGTGGTAAAGAAAATACTCGTATTGGACGTGTCAATATCGTATTTATATCCATTTCTTTCTTTTTTTGTATTGAAAAAAATTAAAAGTTCCTTATTTATAATTCAAGCTCACGTGTACGTTGCCGCAGTAAAATTTTAGCTATTAGTGATTAAAACGCAGTAACAGAAAAATCTCGTTTCCTTTGTAAATGTCATATAGTTTCGAATTCAAAGTGTTATTTTATAAATAATTTTATACTTTCTGAATCGATTATTAATATATGAATAGTTAATTACTATATACAAACGGCCCTATCAAGCAAAGATTCTAAGCACCATTAAATGCGTGTTGTTCGAGATAATGTCGGACTTCGATGATAATAATGACAAGGCAACTTTCTTATGATACTTATTAATAAGATTTTTTAATATAAAATCATTAATGAGCTTGCACTCTTTTATAGTTTTATAAATGAAATAGTTAAGAAAATAGTAGAATAAATATATTTACAAAAAATTATATAATATATATATATAATATAACATTAAGAAATAACCCTTAAATGAATATCTATAAAACCTTTTCTTTATAAATTTAGCCAATTATTATGATATGTGTGATGCAATAAAAAATATAATATAATAATAAATTTATAATTATCATTTATATTAGTATAACTATCAGATAAATTTTACTTTTTTTTTATTATTGAAGAGATCAAAACTAAAACATTGGGCAAAATATCATTATATTTATACTTTAGCGCTAAATTAAGTTTGATGATATTAAAATAATTTACGTCAATTTGACACATTATAAATTATTAATAAATAATTACGTCTGTCAAAATACAATTATTTTAAAATACTATATATAAAAAGATTTTTGTCAAAAAAATTTTCTTAATAAAAATAATATTTTTATTAAATTAAAATAATCTTATCATTAATTATTAAAAAAAAAATTATTTAAAAAAATTAATTATTAATTTTTTTTTAAAAAAAAATAATAATAATAAGTTTAAATAATAGATAAATATTACATTATGCGAAATTAGTGTCATAGTTAATTCTATTAAAGCTTTTGCTATTTAAGAATTTTTAATAGTAGAATATTGATAATTAGTTCTGATATTATAATAAATAATTATTAATTAAATAATTAAATTATATTTGATTCTTTCTATAAATTTAAGATATTATAAAATCATTTAATAAAATATTATATATATATTTATTTATTTATTTATTTAAATATTAAATACATATTAGAATTATATATTTAAATGTTAAATAACTTTCTTTTATTTTTTTTAAAAAATTGTATATTAGAAAGATAATATATTTAGAATATATAGAACCTTTATAATAGTAAAGAGAGAAACAGCTAAAAAAAATAAAAAATGAGTTAGTGGTAAATCTGAACAAATTTTGATCTAAAAATCATATTCAGCATATAAAAGTAAAATTGATTTTTTCCAGCTGTTTCTTCCTTTTTATTGTAAAAATCCTATATAATATATAATAAATAAATATTATTTTTTTACTATAAATCTTTAGTAAATTAATAAAAGTTTATTATTATTATCATTTTTTAATAAAACATGAAGAATAAATGCTTATTTATTTAATTAAAAAAAAATTTCTTAAAGAAATAAAAAACATTTAAAATGATATCAAAAGTATAAAATTTTAAAATAAAAATATGATAATGTTATTTGGAGCATTAAATTCTGATTTTTTTTTCATTTCAAAATGATGAATAATAATGAGTTTGTGCTAATCCAATAAAAAATATGATTTAGACTACTTGGTTCTTATAGTAAAGTTTGGTAATGAGATTTAAGATTGTTTTACTAAAAGTAAGCTTGGTTCTTTAATAGTACTAGATAGGAGCAGTTTATAAAAATATGTTGGAAATTCTTTTATTACCTTTTATAGAGCAAGGTAATAATACTTCTGTATATAAAGCAAATGCAGTACTTGTAAGGAAAAAGAAAATTTGATATCTTCTCTTCCATGCCTGCTCAAAGGCTCGATTTTACATGGGCATGAACCCCTATCAAAAAAACAAGAAAGAATTTATTGTAATTTTTGAGGAAAAGTGATTACAAACGGAAGTTGATATTTTGAAAATTTTGGTAAATAATATGCTTCGGAGAGTTATAGCTGTAATTGATAGTAGAGGAACTCTAGAAAGTTATTAAATAATGTAAAATAAAGTTTTTGAAAAAATTCGATTTTGAATTTTAGCCAATTGTTTAAGAAAAATGCCGTCATTTGAAACTGCCAAAGAATTTTGATGGCCAGTTTATTATGAAAATGTTTCGGGTAAATTAATTATAAATAATTACAACATTCGATTTAGGTTTGCACAAAGTATTCCTTTAAATCTGTACATTTTGGTTCTAGCACCATACTAATAATAATCGAAACCTAAACGTAAATTATTCAACTTACAAAAGAAAAGAAAAGATAAAGAAATTTATATTTTTTTTTCTCTGAAAAAAATTTATAAAATGATTGATTAACGCAGATTTAATTTTTTTGTGACTGACTACACTAAATACAGTAACTCGAAATAACAAATCACATCTCTTTTAGAAATTTTTTTAATTTACCATGTTTATAAATTCCTTCCGGGTATAGCTGCATCAAATAATTCAAAAAATTCATCATGGGATTGATTCACCAACGTTAGTTCATCGTCATCTGATTCCTCTTCGCGATATTGGCCTGCCGAACCTTCTTTTAGTTTATCTTCGAAGCTTGAAAATCTCTTGTTTCTTTTACCCTGAGAAGCTGATTGAGAAGGTGTCTGCCAAAACACTGATTCTTCATCATCCGCCAAGGTTTTACCTGACAAATAATCATCTGTTTCACTTTGTTTATTCTTAGCTTCTTCACGCCAAACGTCCAAATAATGTTTCAGTCTTTTTTCTTTACATATATTTTCAGACTGAAATATAACATCCTTGAATTTCATTTGAGGGCATAATGCATGTGCCCAAGTTCGATAAAAATTAACAACAGTTCTAAGATTTTCAATCGTCGCGTTTTTTGATTTTTTACCATCTTTGAACTTTAACTTTGGTCCTTGTTCTTTCAATTTCGTTAAACCGTCTGGTCCTACTAGTTTTTCGGAATCTATTTTAGGTAAAACGCGTCTTTTCTTTGTAACTCTTCCACTCTTCTTTTCGGCTTCCGTAGAATTTTCTTTTTTGCTTTCCTTATAATCGAGCGTGTCAAAGTTGATACCAGAAATTTTTCCTGGTTCACCCTCATAATCATTTAATTCTTCGTCGAGGTCAGGAAAATTGTACTCAATGTTATTAATTTTGTTGATTTCCATTGCCGTTTGAAAGTTTGAACAACTTAAAACGTCTAAACTGAATGAACAACGCGAAAAACTCGTATTTAGTCACTACCAAATTGTCACGTGATCACGCCATTGGATTTTAGTATTGTCGCACAAAATCTTAACTCGATCAATCCTAATTACTCGGTATAAAACTGCCCAAACTATAATATTACTAAAAAATCTTTGTTCACGATCCTATTCGAAATAAGGATCATGAGATGTCAAGATTCTATCCAAATTTCTAATATTTAATATTTGATTTCAATTAGTCATTTTTTATTTTTCTTCGTTGTCTAATTTTAACATTATGACGTGGCGTGAAGGTTCAAATAAGCGTTCAATGACATGGCGTGAAGGCTCAAGTAAGAGATCGTCTTCCGTGAGTTCAAGGCGAGATTCAGATAGAAGTTCCTCCAGAATAAGCCGTAGTGAGTGGGATACCACACCTACAACTTCGACTTCAAGATTTTCAATAGGTGGTCTTACTCCTCGAAAAGGTAAGTTTCATTATTTGTTATTTTAATTTTAAATTATTTTTATGCTAATTTGACTATTTCGCAGATTACAAACCACCTAGAGATTTTCCGACTCCACGCCTTGTTTCTTTTGATTATGATGAAATGGAATATAGAAATCGTAACAATCAAGAAGAAGAAGAAGTTATTGGCGAAGATCGTGATAGACTTGAATGGGAAGAGGAGCAAAAGCAATTGGATCGAGAGTGGTATAATATTGAAGAATCATCTGGAGTAAGTTGTAATATTTATTTGACTTTTATCTGACTATTTAAATAATAATCAAATTTCTTTTGTTATTTAGGCTCTTGATGAAGAGCACAATCCTTTTGCAGATTATACAGATTTTGTACAGAAAAAGGAAGAAGAACTTGCACAAAAGCAACTTGTTTGTATTATTTTGTTTAAAAAAAGGGTTGATTATAATATTAGTTTTATGAATTTGTCAATAATAATTATTTTTATGTAGAAAAAGCTGACTGCGAGGCAGGAACAGTATAACAAAGATAATGAGCTATGGGAAACGAATCGAATGCTGACGAGTGGTATTGTGCAACGGAGGGAAATAGATTTGGATTTTGAGGATGACTCAGAGGTAATAATTACTGTTTAATGCAATTCACTGAAATTCTATATCCTCCTTTTTTCCAAACTTTTAACATAAATATTTTATAGGCCCGAGTCCATTTACTTGTTCATGACCTTAAACCACCTTTTCTTGATGGACGTATGGTGTTCACAAAACAATTGGAAGCTGTGCAATCCGTCAAGGATCCTACTTCTGATATGTCTGTTTTCTCTAGAAAGGGAAGCCAGCTCGTAAGAGAAAAGAGAGAGCAAATCGAACGTCAAAAGGTATTTGAATCAATTTTTTTTTTGATTATTTGGCTATCCATGCTTTATTGTTGTCATTCAACAATTTGTTTACACTATTTTATTCATTAAATAGGCTGCAAAAAACGTTGTCGAGGTTGCAGGCACTGCGCTTGGTAATATTATGGGAATTAAGCCAAGTCAAGAAGTTTCAACAGGTTTGTAATTTAATATTATTATAGATATTTAATTGAATTGAAATTTAAAAATTAATTTTTGACAATACCAATATAGAACAAAGCACAAATGAAATGGAAAATCCGAAAGGTGATTCACAATTTGCTTCTCATTTGAAAGCGTCTGAGGCAGTTAGTATTTTTTCAAGGTCAAAAACTCTTCGTGAACAGCGTGAATTTTTGCCAGCATTTGCTGTTCGAGAAGAATTGCTAAGAATTATAAGGGATAATCAGGGTATGTACGAACTATAAAGTAATTGTCTAAATCAATTATATTTCTCATTTATTTTTAATTCAATTTTATTATTCTTATGATGATTTTATTTGATAGTTGTTGTAGTTGTTGGTGAGACAGGCTCTGGGAAAACTACACAACTTACTCAATATCTTCATGAAGACGGATATAGCAAGTATGGTATTATAGGTTGTACACAACCTCGTCGTGTTGCTGCTATGTCTGTTGCTAAACGTGTTAGCGAAGAGATGGAGGTAATAATTTCGTGTGTGAATTATAATATATATATCTATTTTCCTAATATATTTCAATTTATTTATAGTGTAAACTCGGATCCACAGTCGGTTACGCCATTCGTTTCGAAGATTGTACTTCAGAAAGCACAGTAATTAAATGTATGTGCACACCTTTTTTTTTCAGCATATCTGAAATATATCTTAATCCTTGGAATCATATTATATTAGATATGACAGACGGTGTTATGCTTCGTGAATCACTTAAAGAGTCTGATCTTGACCATTATAGTGCAATTATCATGGACGAAGCTCATGAACGTTCCCTTCAGACTGATGTTTTAATGGGTTTACTAAGACAAGGTATTTGTTATAAAAAGCAATCGTAATTTTCGTGTAAAAAATAGTATTCCTAATTTCAATCAATTATTTAGTCCTTTCTCGTAGAAGGGACATTAAGTTGATCGTCACGTCAGCAACTATGAATGCTGAAAAGGTACGTTTTGAATAATTTATAATTATATTAAATTATTTCTAATGAGTTTTAACAAATATTAGTTTTCACTATTTTTCGGAAATTGCCCGACCTTTACAATACCTGGTCGTACATTCCCTGTGGAGTTAATGTTTAGTAAAACTCCTTGCGATGATTATGTTGATAGTGCTGTTAAGCAAGTGTTGGCGATCCACTTGGGACATCCCGCAGGTGACATATTGGTATTTATGACTGGACAAGAAGATATTGAGATTACGTGTCAAGTGATCGAAGGTGAATTTTCAATTGTTTCAATTTTCTAATGGTATTAAAATAAAATTAAGTTTATTATTCATAGAACGTCTACAGCAATTGGATAATCCGCCCCCATTAGCAATTTTGCCAATCTATTCACAGTTGCCTGCTGACCTGCAAGCTAGAATTTTTGAAAAGACAGCTGACAATGCTCGAAAAGTCATCGTGGCAACTAATATTGCCGAGACTTCTCTAACCGGTAATTAATAAACAAGAACATTAGAGTTTTTATTGCATTGTAATTATATTTAACATTATTTTATATAGTTGATGGTATAATGTATGTCGTCGACACAGGATATAATAAGCTTAAAGTGTTTAATCCAAAAATTGGTATGGATTCCTTACAAATTACTCCAATCAGTCAGGTATGCATTTCTCGTGTTCTTATTTGTTTTGGAATTTTTTATATTTATTGACGATAAAATTATAATTTAAACAAAAAGGCAAATGCGAATCAAAGATCGGGTAGAGCTGGGCGTACCGGTGCAGGAACTTGTTTCCGTCTCTACACAGAACAAGCTTATCATCACGAAATGTTTATGAATACAATACCTGAAATTCAGCGTACCAACCTTGCAAACGTAGTTCTTTTACTTAAATCCTTGGGAGTAAAGAATTTATTGGATTTTGATTTCATGGACCCTCCACCTCAGGTACAATATTCGTTAATAATAGATAGATAATGTTAATTTTATTTTATTTTATTTTTTATTATAAAATTCTTTTTTTTTTTGGATTTCAGGATAACATATTGAATTCAATGTATCAATTATGGATTCTGGGTGCTTTGGATAATACCGGAGAGTTAACATCTCTTGGTCGAAGGATGGTCGAGTTTCCATTAGATCCCTCATTATCAAAAATGTTAATTATGTCCGAGGAATTGGGATGTACGGCAGAAATATTGGTAAATATTTTTATTTATCAAATAAAATAAATGTTTAGATACCCAATTTAAACATTTCCTTTCACTAGACCATTGTATCTATGCTTTCTGTCCCGTCAGTATTTTACCGGCCTAAAGAGAGAATGGAACAGAGTGATGCAGCTAGAGAAAAATTTTTCGTACCTGAAAGTGACCATTTAACACTTTTACATGTCTATACACAATGGAAATCTCATGGGTAAAGTTTCCATGTCTATTTTATTTGAATTTGTTATGATTGTTAATTAATTATATTTATTATGTTTTAAGTTTTCGGGATGAATGGTGTATAAAACATTTTATTCATTCTAAAGCAATGAGAAAAGCTCAAGAAGTGAGATCGCAATTAATGGATATTATGAAAGCAGAGAAGATGGAAATAGTCTCTTGTGGTACTGATTGGGATGTAGTGCGAAAATGTATTTGTTCTGCATACTTTCATCAAGCTGCAAGAGTAAAAGGAATTGGAGAATATGTAAATTGTCGTACTGGCATGCCTTGCCACCTTCATCCAACAAGTGCATTATATGGCCTTGGTTATACTCCTGATTACATTGTTTATCACGAATTAGTAATGACATCTAAAGAATATATGCAGTGCGTTACTGCTGTAGACCCATATTGGTTAGCAGAAATGGGGTAAGTATAAATATTTGAAACCATTGTTAGAACAATTAAATAGCTTGAAATCTAATAATCTTCTTTCTCTGTAGACCCATGTTTTATTCAGTGAAAGAGAAGAATTTTACTCAAAAGGTATATTTATAATTCATAAATATTTATATATTATATTAGTTATAGATTCCTAACATATAATGATCTATTATAGGAAAAGCGAGCAGCCAACAAAACGGAAATGGCCAAGATGACTATGGAAATGCAAATTAAAATGGATCGAGAGAAAGAGGAAGAGGTGGAAAAGGAACTGCAACGTAAAGCGATTGCAACACCTAAACGTTCTAGAATTATTCTACCCGGAAAGAGAGAACCTGGAACGCCTTCAAGAAGGAGGGGATTTGGGCTTTAAATGAATGATGATATTATATAATTTTGGGGTAATTTTTGATATTTGCAATAATCGAACAATCATTAGTAATTTTTAAGAATTGATTTATGGTTTAAAGGACAGCACTTAAAGGTTATCTTAATGAATTTTAATTTACGTTTTTTATAGATATTTAATAAAGATTTAATATTTTTGCATTTTATACATTTTATATTATATATGTAATTTTCTTTTT